CCCTGCCAGCCCCTAACAATCTATGAAATTGCTGTCTTCAAAATGGGAGGGGGACAAGGAAGGGGAGGGAGTTCCATTTAGGGTTTGTCCAACCTACACTGGAGGGTGGGGCGGGTGGATTGGAGCCCCACTCTGAAAGCAGTGGGGTGGGAGGCTCTAATCAACCCACCCAACCCTCCAGCACAGGCTGGGCAAACCCTATATGGAACTCCCTCCCCTCCCTTGTCCCCCTCCCACTCTGAAGACAACACCGGAGCTGCATGAGGGAAAGGGGGGAGGGCAAGGGGAGAGCAGCTGCAGACACACAGCAGCTCCAAACTGGAGCTCAATCCCCCAACCCCATGAACCCAAGAGCAAACATCTGTTGGATCTGGGGGATCAATGCAACTCATGGTGCTTCCTGCAAAGTGCCATGTGTTACAGCGGGAAGCGCACACCTGTCAGCACTTACTGAAAATTACCTACTTCATCCAGAGAACAAGCATCTTTCTTTTCCACCAAAGGAAGCTATTAAATAGATGCAACAATAGCAAAGTAATCCCATGACATCTCAATAAAACACTAAGGTTTTTTACTAATACTTTTTGCACTGGACCTCATAGAACATACCCTGAGAATAGTCTTCTAGTCAGATTTTTGGCACAAACCAGGAAACATAGACATATTAAATAAGGACCTACTGAATTTGATGGGAGTGGGGGAAGGCATTTCACAGGCAGAATACAAGGCCCAGCAGCCATTCTGCAGGTCGAATATGATGCCCCTCCCCCTGTCTCTGATTGCCTGAAGAGCCCCGGTGGCCCCACCCCTCATTACTGATTGGCTGCAATGACTGTCCATCATACAGCCCCACCCCTCACCACTGATTGGTAGAGAAGGGAAGGGCAACATGATAGGCAGCTCTCAGAGTAAATCACTGGTGTGAAGCAGGGGCAGCTGGCTCTAAGGAGCCAGCATTTTATTTTCTGTAAGTTTGCTTTTTTTCCTGAAGATTTCACAGATTTTGCAGGTAATGCCAAATTTCACAGAATCTGTGGAATCCAAAAAATCACAAATTTAGTAGGTCCCTACTAATAAAATTATTTTTAAAGTTAGCCAAACTTTTTCAAGAAAGCATTTTGCTTTGACAGTGGATAAGCAATGGATGAATAAGAAAAAGCCTATACTTACTCTCTGAACTGGATAACCCATTCCTAATGCCTAGTTGAGTCACTTTTATGTTATCAGAGTCATATTTCATGTGCTGATGTTGGTGAGAAGCATGACTTCTTATCTCGCCCTGCCCCGACCCCTACTTCGCCCAGCCCCGCAGGAAGCCATGTGACCGCAGCCATGCGAACAGGCTGCGCAAACAGGCGTGTTTGTCCGCCCAGCGTGTGAGTTAGCATGGAGTTTGCATAGGAGGGCGAGCAGGAAGGCCCGAGGCCCTACCTGTGAGCCCCCTAGAGTAGACAGTCCCAGCTGCAGCCGGCCTACCAGCTGCATGATGTGGACAGGCATGCGCCACAACCCAAGGGTCCCCTCGGGGTCTGCGGCCCCCCCATCTGGCTCCTCAGAGGCCTTGACCCAGACGGAGCTCATGGTTCTGGGCTCCATGTAGACAGAGCCTCTGGCTCTTGGCTGCAGGGGCTGCCTGTCACTTTTTCAGGCTCTGGGGTCCGGATGCATGGCCACCTCCCCTTGTGAGGTCTGCTCCCTTTTGGGGTCTCTAGCATGTCAGCTGGAGGAGCTCCAGGCCACAGTCCAGAGACCACGCGCCATCAGGGACTGTGAGCAGGAGATCGACTCCTACTGCCAGGCCCTTCTCCCCTGGGAGGCGGAGGGTAGACCATGGTCTCCCTCTAGGACAAAGGAGGACTCAGAGACCTCCCATTCTGTCCAGCCCAGGTTTGGACCAAGGTGGCCAAGGGCCCCAAGGCCTGCCGCAACAAAGTCCCTGCCCCGCTGGAGCTCTACAACAGGTATGAACCTCTTGCAGCCCCAGCAGAGCCTGCTGAGTTGCCAGCTCCTGCAGGCCACACAGGCTCTCCTGTAGCTACCAACCCCGCTCTCCCCAAGACAAAATGCAAAGTGTTTGTCATGGGAAACTCCATCCTGAGGGGGGCTGAGGGGACAGTCTGCTGCCCTGAGGCCTTAACCTGGGAAGACTGTTGTTTTGGGGAGCCCGAATCCAAGACATTGCGGAGAAGATCCCTAAACTCCCCCAGCCCACTGACCACTACCCTATGCTCCTTATTCATGTGGGCACCAATGACATGGCTCCGAGGGACATGGCTCGGAGCACTCCCAGCCGGGTCATGAAGTACTACAGGGATTTGGGAGCAGGGCTTAAGGGTCTGGGGGCACAGGTGGTGTTTTCTTTGATCCTCCCAGTCTCAGGTTATGGGCCGAGGAGGGAGAGGAGGATCCAGGTAGTGAACCAAAGACTGCGGTGCTGGTGTCATCGGGAAGGCTTTGGCTTCCATAACCACAGTCCGCTCTTTGGTGAGAGAGGCAGGGAGCTGCCAGGAAGGGACGGCCTCCACCTCTCTCTGCTGGGGAGGAGGCTCTTCTCAGCCATTGAATCATTTAGCATGTTGAATCATTTAGCATTAAACTTATTAGATTCACCACTTGTCGGAATCCTACAATATGCTTCCTCCAATACCTATACTTTGCCCAAAACCTAGTTAAATCTTTAAACACCATTTTATAACTGCCCTAGGCTAAAATCCCTACATGTCACAAGGTTGTTTTAGGATTTATCACTGTCAGATACAGGTTGGTCAGTAACTCAAAGTAATGTTACAGTGTCACACTTAGTCCCATCACAAACTTTTGGTTGTATCTTCTCCATAAATTTATTTAGCAAAAAGCCATGTAAAATATTGTGAGGTGCATTGGAAATACAAGATATAGACTAGAAATACATTTAATAATGAAAGACTAATATGTTTGTAACACATACAGCTATCTATCATATAGATTTTTTTACTTCTATTTTTAGCAGAGATGAGCCCAAATTAAAACCCCTTTATTAAAGAGCCTTGGGGAAGTTCACATCCCAGTTTTGTAGTCCAAATCTATCTCATATTTTTAAAGTAAATTTCTAATCCCAGATCAATAAAACAAGCTCTCCACTCCATTACAAAGTTGTAGCATGGAAAAAATGCATCCTGAGCAGTCTTCTTTCATCTTTCCCCCTCCTCCACGTATCTTCTGACTTGCAAGTGGAAGAACAACAGCAAGTGGCTGTCTGGGCAAGCTGTTCTGGTAATCATAGGTAATCTATAGTGGCAGTGGAATTTGCTGCTGCCTGGGAGAGAGAGGGAGATTTCACCCCACTTTTTGCCACTGAAGCCTTTCTCTAGAGGGCAAAAAAGTGCTGATTTTGGAGTAAAAAATGGAGTCAATTCCCTCCCCAGGAGCAGCAAACTACACTGCTACTCAACAAAACTATGATTTCCAGAACGCCTTGTACTCTGAGACACATATTGTTTACAATGGGGGCAAGGAGAGCAAGATAGGCAGGCAGGCAGTAGCAAGCACCCTAGTAGCTCCAGAGTGAAGTTCCTCCTCCCCCGTCCTTCTGGCTTCCTTCCCACAGAGGCGCGCCCACCCCACATGATGCTACTGCTCCATTGGTTTGCCCTGCATGCCTACATTGTGCTCACATTCATACCACAGTGTAGTGCCATACATGTAGGCAAAACAGAATGCTAATATAGCTAATATTGAATAGTGTATTAATCAACATTATTACTATTAAATTGCTTTGCAAAATGTCCTAAGTGCCACAGAAACACACACCATATGGCTCCTATAACCAAAAATTGGTTCCCAGGAAAACTCGGTTCCTCACTTTCTGACCACCTAAATTAAGACATACGGCACTTCATATGCAGAAGTGCTAAGCAATGATTATCACAGTGCCAACAGAAACTGTGGACGTTCAACATAAAAATGGAAAGAGATCTTTAACAACAAACAAAAAGAAAAATACTTATAAGTAAAAATCTCTTTCAAAAGTGGTTTTGCCACACAATGATCCAAATCTAAGACTTTGCTCAGCTACTGAATTCTAGGTTAACATGCCTCAGAGACTCTGACAGAGGGAATGTCAAGACTGCACAACCCTCTCTATTTCTAATTCTAACCCTCTCTACCAACAACTTTGTAATCAAGGGAGAGGTGATCAGGCATTGGGAGTTCAATTCAGGATCTCCTTCAGTGAAAGGAGGGTTAGTTTGATGGACATTACCTCTCAACTTCAGGAAGGTATGTCAAACTTATGGGCACAATTCCAAGTTTGATTTTGTGTGTCTATTAAGGAAGACTAAAACTGAGAGGGATGCATAGCAACCATGAACTGATATCACTCTGCTGAACACTTCTGATCTCAGTGGGTGGAAGGAATAATAATTTTAGAGGTAGAGTCTACATTTTTCCCATTGGCCTATTTAACTTTGTACTGTATACATTTATATTCCACTTATACTTAGAGTTTAGATAACAGCATTTTAAAAATCTAGATAACTATAGATTTTTAGATTTAAAGAATCTAGAAAACTTCTTTCTTTCTCTCAAATATGTGTGTGTGTGTAAAAGAAAGAGAGAGAGAGAGAGAGAAGAAAGAGCCTTTAAGAGAGAACTGAATTGCAGTTGAGAACAAAGAACCTGTTTTATTATCAATATTATACTATAGGGGATACATGATTCCATTTTCTAGAAATAATTAAGAAAAAATGTGCAATGATGAGTCTTTCTTTCTTTCTCCCATTGTGACCAATGCTCCTTAGCAATGAGCTGAGCTGCCAGCTTCAGTAGTGTGCAGCTCAGAGATCGTGAATATAATTAAGGAACACACAGAGACGCTCAGTGCTGAACCCGTCAACAGAGATTGGAGCAAAGGGCAGCAGGCAAAATAAGGGAAGCAAAAAGAGATTAGACCAATTATATTAAATGTATTTCTAAACCAGGCCATGAAAAAAGAATGAATACCTGTTGAGTTGAAAGAAAATTTTAATTATATTAATGTAAAAACAGGTGAATTTACAAACATTGACAGATGGCATTAAGATGAAAAGGGTGTGAATAACTGGTTTCTTTAATAAAGAGAACTAAGGTTCAAGAAATTGGAAACACTCGAGAAGATTCTATGCTGACACCATCACTCAAAGACACTGCAATCTCCCATTCAAAATACAAAAGCACTACATGAAGTTATGATCCAACAGTTTGCTTGACTACCACCTTCCTTCCACCAGCAAAACACTTTCCATAGCCTTATTTTTACACATTGGAAAAAATCACAATAATTATGCCATAAAATAATATCACACAGCAGTAATATAATTTGGGGTGGACCACAGTGGCATCAGCTCTTAGGAAGATTTAGGAAGAGCACCAAAATCATCCTCCACCCCCATGGAATCTGCACCCCAGAAGCAAGAACAGCCCCACAGCACATTTTTTTTCGGTAGCAGCTGGTGCACAGGCACTGCACTGCTGCTGCTTTAAGAGCAAGAGCTTGGGTAAGCAGAACATGCAGTAGCAACAGCATCTGCACACCAAGGACTGTTTTGGGTAAGACCCTTGCAACCCATCCCCTTCCACCCCCCTCCATGTTTGTCCAAGGTGCAAACCCTACCTGTTATGCCACTGTCACACAGTATTGAGGATTATTCCTTTCACACAGCATGTGGGTGGGGAATTGTAAAGGGATGATAAGCTAAGCAAAGGGATTATGAGTACACTGTTAGCATCACATTTTAATATCTGTAGTGTCATTGTCATTTCTTGACTAAAATACTCTTTCAGAGAAAGAAAGGATATAAAAAAAAGCCCTCTCTTTTCCCCTTCTGAACATGATGAAAGGCTCCTCAGTTGGTTATTAATTAATGTAGAATCATTATAAAACCCTACAATACATAGTTTGTAAATGCAAGCAACTGATGTAAGATATATAGCATAAAGTTAAATTCTACAAACTCTTATCAATAAACAGAGGAAACAGTTCCTTACCTGTCTAAAGTCGTGTCACTCACAACCTGGTGCTTTACTTCTGAACCATTTTTGACTGATTCTTGTCTCGTGAGCCCTTGAGATCTGTTTCTGTCCAAAGCTGCTGTGGATATGTCACCTGAGGGTCCTTGGTATTGGGATTGCTCCTGAAGTTTTGCTTTTTTCTCTTGAGGTGCTTCCTCGTTTTGCAGCCCTCTAATACCTTCTTGGTCAGGCTGCTGTGGTGTGTTTGATCCACTGTTATAGAACCAGGCTCCTGATTTTGTGAGGATTTCTTGTTGTTTTCGGCACAAGTTACATACCCACATTACCTGTACAGAGATTTAAATGAAAAATGCATTAGTTTTGTCAAAGAAAGCAATGTTAAAACATTTTAGCCAAGCATATGCCATTTGACCACTGTTATATGTGGAGGTAGAAAGAGAAATAAAACATTATCTCTTTAAATAAAGATTACAAACAAGCTATTTATAAACAAAAAAATATGCCTGGACATATATAGGAAGAAAAGTTTCCTATAGATGAAAATAATTTTGCTTCCTCTCTAATCTCTTCATTTAGAGTACTCTAAAAAATGGACATAAATGTATTTGCATACTGTGTAAGAAGAGGAGTAAGGTTTATTATTAAGATAAATACAGAAATGGGATGGAAGCAAGAAAATGGATTAAAGTCAGGTTTGGAACTTTGGAAAAGAGTTTCAGGTAGTGTGAATAAATATATATTGACTGCAATAGTGCTAGGATCAGTATCTAATTAATTGTAGGAGTTCATGGGCTTGATTTTAAAACCACTATAAATCAATCTGATTTGTAAATAAAGAAATAAAAATTCAATATTTGTGGAAACTAGTGACTAATCCTATTGGTGTTACATTAATAGCAGATTATTCAAATATTTAATGACAGTTCCCACCTGTTAGATATCTTGAATGTAGTTATTAGTTATTATTATTATTATAAAATGTAGTTGCCTATAGGATCTGGGCATTGTAATTAGTTACATTAGTCACATGACAAAGCTGGTGGATTCCAATACCCCATTTATGTCACATTCATATGAAGAGTTCCAGTATTTAACAAAACAATGTAACTGTTTTGATTTGTTTTAAAACATGTCCAGCCACTATATAGCCACTCTTTTCATTCCTTCCTCTTTTCATAGTTTCATAGTAGGTAGGGTCGGAAGGGACCTGAGCAGATCATCAAGTCCGACCCCCTGCCATGGCAGGAAAAAGTACTGGGGTCAAACGACCCCGGCAAGGTGTTCGTCTAACATCCTCTTAAAGATCCCCAGGGTAGGAGCCAGCAACCACTTCGCTTAGAAGTTGGTTCCAGATCCTAGCCACCCTGACTGTGAAGTAGCGCTTCCTTTCACTTGTCTTTTGTTTCTCTAATCAAGCTCTTTTCTCTTTTTGTATATTTCTTTCTATTGCTTTATGGACAATGTGATGCTGCTTTTATAAATCATATAAAAATATGATATATTTCCAGAATATCTACACTGAGCCTTGAATACGGTTAATCATCCCCATGAACCATAGTTCAATTAATCATTCATTTTGCACTAGAAAATATCCATCCAAGGCCTACTAAAGGCTCATGAACATTCTTTTTAACATAACTAGATGACAATATGACTGTAACTAACATAAAGGTATAACACTCAGCAACTTAGCTAGACAGTGATCCAATACAGTGAAAGACATCATCCTGCAAATTTAACTCTCATCTCCATAAGACATCTGGCTTAATCTACCAGAAAAGATCCAGTATGAGAAGACTTTTACAGAGAAGCTACAAAATGTATTTTACTTTTACTCTCCAATGAATTATCCAAAGGACAATTTAGGTAAGACTTCCTAATCAAGATTAACAAAAAATGTCTCTACACAAGGCTCATTTTTAAGGCTGCTTAGAGTAGAGACCATCTGCTAAAGCTGGACTATTTGATTTCGACTCTCATCAACCACCAGACTGCTATTAAAAGGAGGGTTACTTTGCAGCTCACCATAGCAATTTACCTCTTCAGTTATTTCACTTTCAGTCATTTTTAATAGTAATTTGAAACATTTGAGAAGTTCTCAGCTCTATTCAACCATATTTTACTGACATGACAAATTATGTAAATGTTGCCCAAGCTTAACAAAGAGAAAGACCCCAATCAAAGTCATTATTCAGGTACAACAGTTTTGAATGAGTAAGTGTTGAAGTGAAGTTTTTGCCATGATGGTTCAGGAAATGTAAGAGGAAAGAATTCTTGTGGGTGATATCTTTTCTTGGACCAACTGCATGGCTGGGATAGACATAGACAAGCTTTCAGGTATCACAGTACTGTTCGTCAGATCTCTGGGAGAGAAACAGACATAGCAGAGCTTGTCTTTAGGTACCTAAAAAGGAACTAAAACCAAGTACCATATTTACCCAAATCCAAGATTACTTTGAATTTAAGATAAACCCCAAATAATTAGATTCTATACATGGAAAATTATAAATATGTTATAATTTTCCATGTATAGAATCTAATTCATGGAAGATTGTCTTAAATTTGTCCACCCCACTGTTGTGGCGGGGAAGAGGGGCAGAGGCCGATGTACCAGACCCCCACTCCTTGCCTGTCCCCCCTGCCACATTCCTCCCACCCTGGGGCCTGCCTCCCCTGCTGCTTGCCCCTGTACCTTGCCCCCTGTGCTTGTGCCTGCCCCCTCCACTTGCTGCCCCTCCCCTCATGCCTGCGCCTGACCCCTGCCATCTGTCCCCCTGTGCCTTCCCCCTCCTGCTTAGCTTCTGCTGCAGCTCTACTCCAGCTCTGGGTCAGCCAAGAGCAGCAGCAACTCTGGCCTGGCCCAAACCCAGCCCAGCCACAGAAAAGCAGCAGCTGCAGCTTGCTGCTGACCAAGGTCAGACTAGAGGGACCAAAGCCAGAGTAGAAGGTAAGGTGAGGAGGAGGCAGTCAGGGAGGGCAGGCTACACAGTGTCCCCTGCATTCCCCACAAGCCATACAGGTAGGTCTCCCCAATCTGTGAGCCCCCTTCCCTGTAAAACGAAACACCCCAGATCAGGGCAGGCAGCAGCTCAGTTCCAGATTTAGCCCTGAGCCCAGGGCTGAAGCAAAGTTGAGCTGCTGCTTGTCCCAGGAGAGTACATGAATCCAGGATGAGGCTTCCCCCTCCTCTCCCCACCCCCATCGCCCCCGCATGTTGATTGCACAAAAATTTCATCTTACTTTCAAGTAAATGTGGTATCCCCAGTCAAATCACTCTGCATACAAATCCTGAAGTCCTATATTTTGCCTCAGAGGACAACACTTCAAAACAATCAACTTTTTTAGTTTTCCCCCAAGCATGTGCTATAATACTTGGCCCTTCCTACAGAAGATATTTGGATGTGTCCATGTTATCTTCCTAGTTCAGCCACTGTGGTTTGCCAAAGAGAAATGTGCAGAATTTTTTTTTACTTTAACCCCCCTTGTGCTAGTGACTGGCTTCTACAAAAATCCAAAGGTGCTGCAGAGCTGGGTAGCTAAGGACTTTGCTCAGCACAGGAAAGCATAACTGAGAAAACAGACATTTGATGATAAAATTTTGATCATCTGTTTGTCCTTATGTTTAAAGATATATCCCTATCTTAGTGGGGGACATGCACTGTATCATACCTTGCCATTTTATTTCCAGTTCTAAAGTACAGAGTTTATTTTTTCTCGACTGCCACTGTGATTGGATCAAATCCTTTGATTCTTATCACATTTCAGCAAAGCAATTATAATCATATCCCATATTCTTCAAGTCTGAGGTGAAGGGTAACTTTTGCTCAGAAGTTTGTCTAATATCTCTCCCAACTATGCAGTTGGTCCAATAAAAGATATAACTCCAAAAATATCCTTGCCTCTCACATATAGAAATGGAGAGAGAGCACTTTGCTTTTCAGGTACTTTTTGTCATTAAACAGTATTTCCTATAGTCAGAAATGCCTTTTTTTTTTAAAAAGAACTTATTTTCAAAAAGACTTCAAAGGTAATTCATGAGAAAAAATGTTTTTTACAATTAGACTTTCAGATAACTAAGTGTTAAGTGGTAACAATTGTCTTTAAAAGTAAAATTAAAGAGCGAACAAAATGATGCTTTTGCATACATACACATATGTATGCCAACATACAAAAAGAAATCAAAACTCATGGAAGGGGTGATATATTTTATTTGACCAACTAGATATCTGTAAACAATAAAAAATATCACCTCTCCCATGAGTTTTGGAAATATTTATTTATGATTAATAATTTTTTAAAAATATCGCCTACTCCATGAGTTTTGATTCCTTTTGCCTTTAGACCAATACAGCTACAGCCTGGATACCTGACATAATGCAGAAAAAGAAATTAAAACTCATGTACTAGAGTACAGGATTGCCTCCTGTTTCTTATTTTTAAAATCTCTACTAGCTTCTATTCTTTAAAAAAATATTTATGACAACACCCACAATATACTGTAATATGTTTCAATAGAAGCATAGGCCTGAGGAAATCACTAAAAATTATTTGCAAACTGAAATGGTATTGTATTTCATCTAGCTATTGACAACCAAGTAGTGGCCAAAGATATACTTAAGAAATATTTTACCTACCATATCAACAGTGCAAAGTACAGAAGTTAATTGCTTTAAAATCAGGAGTAATGTTTGGGTTAAAAGAAAACCTGGCAAAATTCTGCTATCTAATGCTTTTAAAAATTATTTTTTTCTGAGATGAGTTTAAAAAAAGAAACCCTGCATCCTAAAGATACTGATGGGTTCCACGGAAAGACATCAATTCACAGTAAAGGTTAACACACCACCTAGTGCCTATTTTAAGAATTGTTGATATTTAAAAAAAAAATAAATGTTAAGTAATGCATCACAATGGTGGTGTCATTTTCAACTTAACACTTACCAAGTACAGTTAAATACAACAGATGCACGTTCAAGCAATTTAGCATGTGTTAAGTGCCCTCACAGCATTCCAAAATTGTTCCTTTTCAGGGAGGGTTATTTCCTAACATGTACTAATAGGTCACTACGCTCCAATGATTTGAAATGCTTGCAAGGGAACATGTAACAAGGAACTAAAAACTATATATAACAGAGAGTATATTTCCATTCTAACTTTGAAGTGAGTATATTTGTTAAAAATACATTTTCTTTTGGTTTTACCCAATTGTTTTTTCAGGTAGGTAGTGTTCCAAAACAGGACTAGAAATCTATTTCAAATTTCCACCCCATTTTGATTCTTCATAGGCTGAACCTGTACAACAAGGAACAAAGGAGTTTCAAACATTTTA